GAGCTATATCCCTGGTTGGGTGGAAACGGATCGAGTTTACGGAACCCGTGTGCCCTGTATACTGCAGGAGACATTTACCCCATTCCACACTCCACACGCAAGCTGTATGATCTGTAAAAGGAAAAATTATGTGTTTTTATTAAAATTTGAGAGAGATCACTTGATGGTAGGTATCAACGACACTAAAGGAGTTACAATTGCGTTTAAGGCCCTTAGGAAGGAGTACCCTCTTTTCTGGAAGCTTTGATAGGTCGTGTCGTATTTTTATGTGATAGGTCGGCAAACGAGCATAAGGATCGCCTGATGGTAAGCAATCAGCGTCGCCCATGGACACCGACACGACGGAGGAGTTACGAGTGCGTTGTCGTCCTTTGGAGGAGATTTTGGGAAAGGAAACGAATTGGAGTAGGGGAAGGATTGGGCCTCCGGTAACCTCACACGCACGGCGAAACACGACTCTTTGGTTATATCACGCCGGTTTTCTGTGAGGAGTCGTTTTATATTTATATATATGAATGTTTTACTACATGAGCCAGGAAATATCGTGAAAAACGCAAAACATTGTTTCCTGTTAACTGCCTTTATTATCGTCATATATTTTTCTTTTTACCTCTTTCGTGAATCGTGTCGCACTTAGCAGATCAATGATCAAACAAATATGTAACACCATAAGGCTTACGTCGCAAATACGGACACATGACCTATCAAGTTACTATCTGAAATAATCTGAATGCTTGTTATAAGTAGACATTCAGCCATAGCGAATGGATAAGCACGTTCTCCAAAGCTGAAGAGACATGCGATGTTTTTTTTTTACTAGCCTACAATGTCCCACTGCTGGGCAAAGGCCTGCCCATCTCGCTTCCACACCTTTCGATCTTTCGATACTTGTAATGTTAATACACTTAAAAAACATATAAAAATGTATTACCAGCCGATGCCGTGCCAATAAGAGCTTGTCCAGGACGAGCTGACGTCACATCCCAAATTCCATCCTTGTGTCCCGTGAACTCCCTGACTAACTGACAGTTGTATGTTGGAGCCTTGAAGCTGGAAACTATCTTGCTGGTCTGCACCCGGAGTTTGTGGCTTGCTTTCACTTTTTGCGAGTTGCTTTGTGTTACTGTGGAAACATTCATCATCAGCCTATAAGTGCTAACTGCTGTGCAAAAGCGCCTTCTCACGTGGAGAATTTTATTTGTATTACTATTATTATTTTTATGTATACACTCTAATCCTGTTAATTTTCACTAGTTAATTTCATGCAGTGGAGTAAATGTCTGTTTAGTTGATTTTTAAATTGGTACCCATGCTCCAACTTCTTATAATATTTTATCTTCTTATATTATTTTATTAGAAGCACTAATCACCACACTTGCTCAAGGCAGATTGGCAATATCCAGCTTATAATTCGAAATTCCAATTCAAGGATTCTGCACACTGTTTCATAATCATAATAATCAATACCATAGAAAGTACATAGGTATAACATGGAACAAGTCACATTGATACTTGCCAGGGTTCGAACCCACATGCATGAGAAGTGAACAAACATTGTAAAGAGGTAAAATAAGTCAACATTATTATCATGATTTTGGCCAAGAGTCAGCTCTGGCTTGCTATTTACTCTCCTTTTTTGGGGTTCCACACCCAAATCAGTCTGCTGTCCATTCATCTGTGTGTCTGTCACCAGGCTGTATTTCAGAGGCTGCCAGGCTTCAGGGTAGTTTAACTATTTTTTATTAGTAAATTTCCATATACAAGCTATGAGCAGCCCCAGTAAGTAAACCGAGTACAAAACATGATATTATTGATGTATGTAGAAATTGCAACATATACTTATTAAATGGATGAACAGTAGAAGCTACTTTTAACACAAATCACCTCTACCTGTGTTATGGACTAAAGGCCTAATGTCATTACTTATTACTTACATTTTACTTTAGAGTTCTTTCCAGCAACATCAAACTCAATGTAATCCAAGTTCTGTTTATCTCCCACATAACTCTCCCGTTCCAATTTTTCACTCAATATATCTATTTTCTCTTGAACTGGAAACAATAATAAAGGTGTTTACTTTATGGTTGACTTAATATTTAGACATAATTATATTGCTAACAACTTACATATCCAACATTAATTTAAACTTACTCACTAGTATTGTCTGAAAAATTTTCTACACGTACCAGTTGGCTGTACGTGTGCTATGACTCTTCTAGAGTTCTCTCTACATACTACACACTACAACTAAAGCCATTCTCAGTAAACTCATGCGAGTTAGTTATTTTTCAATAAAATTAGCATGTCTTACTATAAGTATAACTGAGCACTTGACTAGGTAACTAATCAAATGTAATATTTTTTACAAATTTATAAAATCATTTTATTTATTATTTTTATATGATGTTGGGTTATACATTACACATAGGGAGTTATCATAGAGACAACAGGTATTATCTTCTTTTAAAATCTTAAGTTTTAAATCTATTAATATGTTTCAATTGTTAATAATTACAACATATAGTATTGATGAACTATAAAACAAAGATACTTTATCTGTCCATATATATGCTTCGATCTTTAAAATATGCAACATACTTTATTGTTTTTTTTTGTAGATAGAGCGTCAGTGTGTATGTGGATGTTTTGTATGTATAATAAGATCTATTAAATAGTGCAGAATGTTAGTATCAGCATTGCTCCGGTGCACAGACAGGGCAGGTAGCTAGTTTTTATTACAAAATTAATATATGGAATGGTTGAAACCTATGACTGTAACATTCTGCACTTCAGTCGTTTAAAAAGCTTGCAGTAAACCAAGCAATTAAGTTAATCCAGAATTCATGATCATTGTTTGGTTTTACTGCTTATTGCATTTAATTTTCAGCTTAGTGTACAGAGATAGATGATACTGTTGATGTAATTCTACAAGAAAACACATTTATATATTATACTAAACAAATTCGTTTATACTGTAAGAACTACACATTAATAATATATAAATAATGTCAATATTCTTCCTTCAGGTGTTAGATACAAATATGGATACAACAAAGTCACTTAAAAGTACATAATTACAAATCATTTGTAACAAGTATAATGTGGCTTAATATGTTGAATGTAGTTTAATGAATAACAAGTACTATAAATTCGAAGTAGAACATTAAACTTACGAAATATACTTAAGTCAAACTTACGATTTAAGTTTTCAGTATAGAGAAGGTCAAACTCTTTTTCTATTTGAGAAAATAATTCGTGCAACCTTGATCTAAATACTGGCGGAATAGATGTTTCGGAATCTTCCATCTTCAAGTAGTTAGGTAGTCCATCAGAACCTTCCGTAAGGGCCTGGAGCCTTCGCTTACTGGATTTCATGGTCCAAGGCAGATTACACACCAATAAAATAATCACATCACATTACGCAGTACATGAACACAGAAACAGAAACTTTAGAACTGTAAATTTTATGAGATAATTATTATAAACCGATATTTCCACGAAACTTGAAAATAAAAAACTCCTAAATAAATACAATCAATGTATTCCACAATCCACAATCTTTCAACTTTTGACGTGACGTTCTAACGTTTTGATTTTTCTCACACTCGACAAACATCATTTTTTAATTTTTTTATAAAGAATATTTTTATAAATATCTAAAATATTTTTAATATTATTTGGTTGCTATATTAAAAGCAGACAAGCAAAAGATTTTTTAATTAAATCGCGTAAATGTACACTTAACGTAAAATAAAGTGTATATAATCTATGCTCATGAGATTTGAATGTTGTAATTTAGTTTTGAATAGTAGTAACTATCGTGAGACATACTAAATTTATTGAAAATAACGACTTACTCACGTATATCAACTGAGTAAGCTCTACTAGTTTCAGTTCACCACCGAGTACATTATATTTATATAGGGTACAACGTTGTCCTATGCACTATATGAATCAAATGTAATCTAGAATATTACTGGCCACTGGTGGTATTATCAGTGGGTGGAATTTCCACCCACTACGGCTGCTTTCTACTGTGGAAATGTGGAATAACCAGTAGTCGTATAATCAAAGGGCATACAATAACAGAATTCATACGCCTTTGATCTTTAAAGAGCTAGAGAGACTAGACGCTACCTATGATCCTTTATCGAACACAAAAACTTGTAGGTAGGTACTTAGTTCTCTAAGTATTGGATAATGTAAATCTACATATTATGTACCTAACTACGCATCTAACGTACGTAATTAGATCGCTTCGTCGATGCGGGTATTATTACTATTTCGAAAGTTTGTTTGTTGTCCAGTCAGGGAATCAAACCGTCGGAATTGACGTATGCTGAAATCATGGCGAATCATGGATAGGATTGATACACAAATAAGTAAACAGCGTACCAAGGTGTCTCAAATTTCAAAATTTTCAAATGATGCCATGATATACTAACGCGGAGTCTTGAGCCAACCATCCTCCTCCTTTATTACTTTACTCTTCGCAACCATCCATCTATCAGATCAGCTACCCATATATTATATTGTAGTCTTTGTATAGATAAGTGCAATAACTATAGGGGTATTTCGTTTTCTCGTAAAGTCATTAATGGAGCTAAAACACCAATTAAAAAAATCGCTGGATAACACTTGGCAACATTTTGTATCTAAGTAATAGCATGAAGCTTGCCACATTTTGTCAGAGACGGAAAGTTTATTATCTAGACATTCGAAAATCTATTATAAATAAATCCAGTTGGTTGCTTAAAATCAATTTCAGTTGTTAAACTTAGAAGTGTAGTGATAACAATTTAATTTTAGAGAATGGAAATAAACCACAAGTAATTAAAATTGAAATATGAATAAATCTTTTATCATTATACAAAATAATATAGTTAATTATTTAAAATGTCTATAAAATAAAACAACAATGTTTACTTACGAATAGAATATGAATATAACTGGCAACTCTACAGTCCACAGACTAATAAAACGAAAACCGAATGTACACTGGCAAGATTTCATCGCATGGTCATTATTAAAAAAAAATGGCTGGTGAGTAGCGAACTAGCCCTGCCAACGTTCGTCGTTAGTTAGTTGTTTATTTTTCTATTTACAATCATGTCGTTTTCAGATTTATACGCAAAGTATAATTGTACGTATTGTCAAGAAGAAATTAATGGTGTACGCGTAAAATGCGCTGAATGCGTCGACTTTGATATTTGTTTGCAGGTAGAGTTGCTTTGCTGCCATTTTTGTTTATAGTTTTGGCGCAAATTTTTAAATTGTCAGTGACTTACAAATTAAAAATCTTCTTCTTTTTAGTGTTTTTCTCTTGGCGCTGAAATTGGTACACATAAAAATGATCACTCCTACCAGTATATGGTAAGTTTTTTATTTCAGTTGTATTGAAATCAGTTCATTTGTAAAAAATACTACATAGCAAGTATTATTTTGTTCTTAACATCTGAAATAACATTGTTGCTTTTATTCTAGGACTCTGGAGCCTTTGGCATATTCTTAGGTCGAAGTAGTTGGTCTGCAAATGAAGAAGTTAGATTACTAGACGCCATAGAACAATTTGGTTTTGGAAACTGGGAAGATATAGCTAAACACATAGAAACACGGACTCCAGAAGGTATGGTTTGTTCAACTCATTTTATGTTGAAATAATAGTGTATTACACACAGTTTAAATCCATATATTATTTAGAATTTCTTGTCCCCAAAGACGATGCTTCTCTACGCTGAAATCATTGGAAAAATGAATTAAATATATTAAGTTATTGACTACACATTGGTTGAAATTATAAGTGCAATTGCAATTCGAAAGTTTTGATAACTGCATGGAAAACTTCTTTATAGTTAAACTTAGTTATAGTTTTACATATCCAGGCTCAACAAATGTTTAGAGTAACCTAGAGCCTTACATGGACAATGCCCACTGCCTTTGTGAAATATTTTTGTTGTTACAAGAAGAGATGCCATCAAACTTAAATTACTTATTTCAGAGGCCAAAGATGAGTATATCACCAGATACTTGGAAGGCAGTATTGGCAGAGCAACCTGGGGTAACTTAGAAAGCACAAGCCGACCCTCATTAAACACTGGTGATAAAGATGAAGGTCCACTGGGTCCAAGTGCTGTATCCCGTTTACCAAACCTCGCAGTTACCACAGATGAAGCCGCACAATTAGGATATATGCCAAACCGAGATGATTTTGAAAGGGTATGTTTCGATATATTAATATTTCCTATACATATCTTATTATATTACTTTAGTAATGTTTTACAGTATATTCGTCCAAGTTATCATTTTCACACAATTTGGCATATTCAAGTTTTTATTTTCTATTCATCAATTATATTTTGCCTGTCCAAATGCATAATTTTAAGAATGTTGGTTAGCTCATAGCTGGCTAATGTATAAGACCTACTACCTATAACAAATACTTCTAACTACTTTGTATACATAAGCTGTAGGCCTATGTCATCATAATAAATAAAATAAATTATTTTTTTGGTGAGTAGGAACTAAAGTATGTATCAAAGTATTTAATTATAATAATTCATGGGGCAGCAATTGGCTACATTACGAAAAGTTTTTAACTAAGTAGTAAATAATTTATACCTTTAGCATATAAAATTTGGCAGTTATAATAAAATGATGTTATAATGGTATTTCTTTATTTCTTATCAACCATGTGTTACCAATTTGCCCATGTACTACACATGGGCAAATTGAATTGAAATAATAATGTTAATTTACATGGGCTAAGCTGAGGGTGAAACATATTAGCTACTTATTAAAATTAAATGAATAATAAGTCTAAAGAGTTATTAATCATAGAGTCGACAATAGTGTGTATTCTCTTTGTTATATCCTAATGTAATCTTTTTCAGGAACATGACCATGAAGCCGAACAGTTGATTTCGACTTTATCTTTAAATCCTGAAGATGATGAGTTGGATATTGGTAAGTCTTATTAACTTAATAGCAATATGACGAAGGGTGGTTGTTTTTGGAATGCCTCGAAAATCGGCTCAAAGTTTTCATAAGAACCGATAAAAGTCTGTTCCCCGAAGAATATAAATCTGGCTTTAAACACAATCATTGTTTTTTTGCCATCAAGTATCTTCAAGGCTCGAGTGAATAGGTTGTTCATACGCAGGCAAACTCCATCGTAGGCTGTATTATCGCTTATGACCAGGCGAGAAAGTGGCGAAAAGCCGCAGCAGTTATATTACGTGGCATTTATTCCATTGGTGCCGAAATATGGCTCTCCAACACATGAATTTAAAATTAAATTAATCCATTTTAATTTACAGCCCTAAAGTTATCACAAGTTGATATTTACACCCGACGTCTAAGAGAAAGAACTAGGAGAAAGCGTTTAGTGAGAGACTACCAACTTGTGTCTGTATTCTTCAACAACCAGAGAAATAAACAGAAGACCCTCGGAAAACTTGCCAAAGAGAAAAAGTAAGTGCTTTAATTTGTATATCTCTAGATACTAAACAATTCTTATCGTGTCAGTGTTTAATGCCATTTGGCGGTGGAATACACAACCGTTCCCAGCCTTAATCTTTCCTTGTGTGTTGATAAAGTTAGCAGCTAAGCTTGGAAATAGTACATGGAAGCACTAGATGAATGAGGATCAAAATCTAGGCGGAAAAAGAAGTTGTATCCAGTTATGGTTTTGGTACACTATTATAATATTTCTATTGGTGATTTACAATTGAATTTCGTTCAAAATGTCAACCTGCATAATAAACGAATTGCTCAAATTGCTTCAATAGTTTTGGGACTATTTAAGTGATTATTGTAGATAACTTCGGTCGCGCGGTTTCACTTGCTGCTCGGCTCCTACAAATCGAATCGTGATGTTTTATAGCCTAAAGCCTTTCTCGATAAATGGACTAACAAACAAAAACATAATTATTCAATTCGAACCAATAGTTCTGGAGATTAGCGTGTTCAAACAAACTCTACAGCTTTATAATATTAGTATAGATAATAAAAACAAACAAACAATAAAACCTTTTTTTCTATAATATCCATCATACATAATCCACGTGTTATTTTGTAATAGAAATACAATAAATACCTACTTATTATCGTTCTGACCTTTGTTAGTGGGTCATATGATTCATTTTGTGCTATGCATTTTACAAGGTGACGATATTGTCTACATGTCAGATTTTTCTTACTGATAAATTACTTGACAGATTTTGATGCATCTTTTGCGATATGCACTTTTCGTCATAAATGGTGGTTGAAGTCTGATTCGACTTTTTAGATTATGTTTTTGATTATTTTAAAGATTCCTTTCTTTTAACTTTTTTGTGGGCGTTCTGTAGGTAGTAGTAATATTTTCGATTGATATAGTGCTGATAGTTGTCTTATAAGTATACAAGGCTTAAGTACAAAAATAGGTCAAGTTTTTGTAATCTGCGGATAATGCAGTTGGCTACTTTACTTTCTTTTTTTATTAATCTTTTGTTTATATATTGTGTAGTAGCTGTTTATTATCCCACAATAAATAAAATAAAATGTAAAAACTTTATTAAATAGTAAGTAGAAAAGTAAAAGTAAAGTAAATCTATGCAATGTTTAAATATAAGCTACTATCCCGGTTACCAAAGACCAATATTAGGGGTTATTAAGCCTTGGTGGTGTTGGTGGTTGTTTACATTCAATAGTTTTAGTGTGGCATTTAAGGTAAAGGCGAGGCCTTTGTTCAGAAATGGGCATCTTCTGGCTGATAACGAATTTTCTGCACACAAATAATACCACATGTTAAAGTTTTTTAGACTTACTATTATCAATCTTAAATCATTACACTACATGGACATGACTGTGGTCATCTTTCGGTCATAAACACTACATTAACATGATGTGGTATTATTTTTGTACAGTAAACTTCTTCATTTTTCATTGTTTTTTTCGTCTGTAACCTTAACTTGCGATGGCATTGGCATATTTTAGTTTACATTGCAATTAGTTCAATGTCAAACTATTTGAATGTCAATTTTGATTTTGAAAGCCACCGAAGAAGGTCCGCACAATTGTTAGGAAACATTAATTAAGACATTCTGCTCACATAAAAGATTTTTTCCAGTACATACGCCGTTTTTACTCTCCTATAAACTTGTAATTCTTGATATATAGGTGCATATGAAAGTTCCTCAATGCATCAAACCCCGGGCGTTCATATTGAAAGGTTATATAATTTGGATAATAACATTTGCAGAGAGTTCACGGAGCGTGTGCGATGGACGGCGCAGTTTTACGGGCGCGGGGAACAGCTGGGCGTGGTGGCGGGGCTGTGGCGTGAGCGCGAGCTCCGCGTGAGGCTGGCGGAGCTGCACCGGTACCGGCTGGCCGGCGTCACGCGCGCCGAGGAATGCGCCCACTACGACCAGCACGCCGCCATCCGCCGCCACGCGCCGCCACACGTGAGACCCCGCCTGCTGGTACTGCCGAGCTAAGCATTCCATATACTTACACTACACACACGGATTAAACATCTAAAGCAGGGGCCCACCGATTCTTATCATATCAGTTTAACAAAAAAATGTCACTACCGATGTAAAAAAACCTGTTTCGGTTTTTTGTTTTGATTGAATTGTTACAATAAAATTCCAAGAAGTGTATTAAATCTTAATGAACGAAAATTTAAAACTTATATTAAACGCGAATTATGTAGACAGGCATACTACAAACTTTCAGATTATATTGAGGACAAGAATGCCTGGCATCATGTTGGTTCGGCTCCACTGGACAATACTCAAATATGTAGTCATTAGTTATTGAAATTCTCAAAATTAATGAAACCTTGAATGAGTTTATATAGAAGCATTCTTTTGGATTGTGAGTACGCATATGTGAGCACCATGTTCGAGACAACAAAGGATTAAAATTTTAATGATAGATAGACCATCATTTGTTCCTTTTTATTAACAACTTGTCTCTGCATTGTTCTCACATAGGGGTACAGTAATGTATAAAAAATGTATTATTTATGAATTGTAAAACAAATATTTTTTTTAAAAGAGTAACGATGGAGTTTCTTGCTCGTTCTTCTCCATTCGAAACTACAATTTGGAACGAGCACCTAGCTTCACTGACGAACAGACTGACAGACTACTATTCTATTTTGACGTTTCAAAAGTACCTATTTATGGTTTATTTGGAATAAATGATTTTGATTTGATTTGATTTGTCTCAGGTCTCCCCCGCTTCGGGTCGTTCAGGTCCAACTATCTCACTAACAACGAAAGGATTTCTCAAATTTACCCGTTATTTTTCAATTATTTTCTTTGATAATTGATTTAATTTAATAAAAACATTATTTGTGTTTTAATCGGTAGAATCGTTAATTTTGGGTTTAAGATAATCTATATATCTATAATATAAAAATGAATCGCGAAATGTGTTGGTAAGTGCATAACTCAATAACGCCTGGACCAATTTTGCCAATTCTTTTTTGTTGTATTTATTATTGTTAGGAGAAGGAGAGTTCGTATTAAAGAAAACATTGGAAAAGTAACCCGATTCCCTTTCATTGTAAGCCAAATAGTTGGACCCGTAAGAAACGGGGGCGGGCCGCTAGTACTTATTATTTTTATTTCCTTCGGGCCCCGCACATGGTTAATCCGTCACTGCACACATATCCTTACGTCACGTCATATCATAGTTCCTAATTAACTTATTAATCGTGGTAATTGGCGTTTTAAAAAGACACTCATAATTTATTTCCTCATATGTCAAAATCGTTCATTTATAAAAAAAATCAGACCAATTTTCATAAGGAATTAAAATACAAAACTATTATTTTATTGAGAATTTGCATCAAATTCTGAATGACAAAAAATCCACATATACATACATTCCACATCGAACCAGGGTCGCATTTCGTTACAATTTAATATTTCATCCCAAGTACTACTACTTAAAATATGCTTTTACTGTCGTTTTTTGTAAGTCTAAATGCGGCCCTGAATTCCATACATTGATGCTTACGCAATGTGCTTCCAATGTGTTGTGGTGTGTTCTCGGTTTGCATGACTTGTTGTAGCATAGAACAGAATACTTATGGTATAAAACATAAATAAATATAATTATACCAATCATTATATTCTATTTACTTAATATTTAGGCAATATTGCACGTGGCTTTCAAATATATGAATGACGTTATCTTTTTAATCTATAATTTGTTTATGATATTTAATTTTTTTTTATTTGTATATAAGTTGGCAGTTGTGTTATGAGTTCTGTGTATAGGTCCCATACAGTTTACTTATTATTTATGTGTTGCAAACAAACCTCTTTTGAATTTCAAAGCAATCAATGGCACTTTAAAAAGATTGCCAGACCTTTGTCAAATACATTTTCTTTCTTGTAAATGGATAATATCAAATATTTTTTCATGTTTTGTAAAAAATACTTGCGTACTTGTAGAAGTTAATAGCCGATCTCATTCCCCATCTTTTGGTTCATTTATATTTGAGACTCAAGTTGTATGGCGTGGCTGTTGAAAACTATATCAAGTCAGATATATATAATTCCACTTACAGGGTACTAGACCAATACGGAATCTTAAAAAAAATGTTACTTCATGCAAAATGATGGGATGGGAAATAAGTTTAGTTTTTGAGATTTCGATATTAGTTTTATTTTATTTGAGCATCAGTATCGGGTCAACAACAACTATTAATTTCTGCCTAGCACAGCAAAACTGTGGTATAGATCGCCCTCGTCGGTATTACCGGGTCAAATACGACATTTAATCTTTCAAGAAAAGAGCGTACTCATTTTAAAAGTCCCGCAATGCACTCGTTATTCTCTGGTGTACCGGGGGTCCATAGGTGGCACTGATCGCCTACTATCAAATGATCTGTCTGGTCATTTGTCTCATATTCCATGAAATGTATATATTTTGGATTGAGATCAGTTATGAAATTCCGTCTTAAAACATATAAGAAAAAGTCATCTCTACGTTCATTGTACAACTTCAGAGTATTCATTAGCGTCCTTAAATGATGAAAAAAATATCATGAAAATAAACCGTAGGCTATTGATTGTACCGTGTGGTTTTGGGTTTGATCCCGTATAACTATTGTATTCGCCAGGGCAGCAGTGGGTGCCTGGAAACCAATCAGACAAAAGAACAAACGCAGAACAGCACGCAGCCGCAAAGAAAAAGGTCAGTATCTTTTATATAAAGATGAATTGCTGTGTGTCTCCACATTCTCCACTAAATCTCGAGAACGGCTGGATCGATTTGGCTAATATTCGTGGTAGTCCAGGGAAGGTTTAATAAGTCTAAAAACATTTTAAGGCGGAGCAAAAAAAAAAATAACTTTGCTGAGGTAGCTAGTTGTTGATATAAGTTTAAAAATCCTTTTTGGGTGCTCACCCACAAATCATAATGGTATTGGCCGCAAATGCTATGTAGTTTTAAGTTCTAAATCTTATGACAGGAAAATACAAATATTTTATTTATATATTTTCCTTGAAGGTTTAGCTAGAATAGTATTGTTCACTAAACATTGTAAGACACATAAAAAGACTATTTAATATCGTAATAAAATAAAATAATACCTACTTTCCTTTAGGCGGATATTCCATTAAGTAAATAATACTATACTGAATATAGTGTTTAATTACTAAAATTTTTCACTTTCGTTCTTTGATTGGGAATAATATCTGGTAAGTTCTTACTAAAAAAAAACTTAGATCGTAGTGGCCACTACGATCTCAGTTTTTTTTTAAATCACAGTTAGCCCACAACAGGATTTTCTCCTATGTCGTGGGTTCCTTTACTAACATAGAATGGCACATACACATGATAGAGTTGTTCCGTGTGGATTGATGAGATGGATATTATAGAAAATCACTTATCCGGTATGTTATCATGCAACAGAGACGGAGAAAGCGGCTCAAGTTCCACCAGCCCAAGGTGCACACGGGACGGAAGTACCGCATGTGGATGCTCCAAAAAGAGCTCATGCAGCAACAGCAACGGCGCATGCTCGAGGCATCTGCTGACCAATAATGAGATACAGGTATGTACACTTTGTATCTATTAGGTTTTGTTTGACTTTTGGCGACATTTCGGGCTTCGGGGATCGAGAGATGATCTTTGGCCACCATAAGCGCGGGTTTGCGGACCGCGAGTAAGGGTAGCTCGCCGCCCTACCAAAACCAGACCCGAGCGTAAGACGCGTTGCGTTCCGCGCAAGACTCAAAGAGCCAATAGACCACTACAGCCAGGCCCTATAGGGCTGATGTTCAGAGGGGGTTGAGGGCAAGCGCAATGAGGCACCGCGCTCTCGGCCAAAAGCAGAAGAATGAACGAGGGTTTTAGTCAGTAAGAGTGACAGTCTCTCTCGCCTCACCCTGGGCGGGAGAAGCCGTTTGATGATTTTCCCCTTACAAAAAAGGCTTGGTTTCACGTTCAAAAGTACCTGTGAGGGTCTCTAATTGACAATCACAACACAGATGACATGAATGACATGATGACACTGAAGACAGAAGTCATTTGATGATTTTTCCTTCACAAAAACGGGTCTAGTTGAAACTTTGACACTGACCTAATGGCTGGACAATCGGTTGCTGTGCAACTTGGGTTCTAGGTCGACATTCCAACGCGGAACGATTTGTTCAGTATGATCCATAAATATTTGTTCTAGGTCTGGGTGTTGTTTTCATCGATCAAAAAAATGATGTCTTGCACTAGGATTCTCTCTTGTGTTGTGGCTAGGCAGTAAGGGAAAAGTAATTTCAAACCTTAGATTACGATCTTTTTTTGAATTTAGTTGCTGTTATAAAGAAATGGTAAATGTAGAGATTTTTGATAAAAGCGTGTACGCTTCGTGATTTCCCGTAGAGGTTTTTCTCACAATAAAATTTCAAACTCAAAAAAAGGTCAGTCTGCTTGTGACCACGACCTGTGCAACCGGGTCGAAACGTCAAGCCTACCAAGGTATTCAAATTATAATTTTCCGCGTTAATATCCGTGTAAATATAATGTTGTTAAGATGAAACGCGAAAGTTTAAAAGTAAGTATATCAAAAAAAGGTGTTAATTCAATTTAAGGGCATCTATACAAACGCATTCCAAAAATGAAACGCGTTTTTATAATATTGGTCTTTACGACATTCGTGTCTGTGTGTGTACCTATATGTCTATGAGAAATTCCTTTGATAACATGATTTCACGGTTGAACCATTGAACTCAAATTGAGTGGAAATAATTCAAACTTTTCAATGTTATAATACATTAACAAACATACTGACTTCGAATAATAACACTATGTAAATAGTTGCATATAATATTGTTTTTTATGTAACGCGTAGGTACTATTTGCTCTTTGGTTCTTATGAATGTTATGTTGATTGCGATGCTTTTGTTCGACCTAGTACTTTGAGTAATTTATGATTCATATCAAGGGTGTTCAGGTTACATTCTTACGTACATAAGTATGTAGAGAGTAAATAGGTATACATAGATGTGAATCTACTATGATGAGTTTTTTCGTTAAGGTTATTTCATACGTTTTTATTAGTTAAATGATCCAATAAAGATAAAATTGATTTAGATACGATTTCATGTACCTAGTCAAAATTCGATGTTTCGATGAGGGCAGTCAGCACTAGCAATTTACATCTACACTAATATTATAAAGGGGTAAAATTTGCAAGTTTGTATGTAAGGTGTAATATTTGGAACCACTGGTTGGATTGCAAAAAATCTTTCACTGAGAGATAGCTACAGTTCCTGAGTGCTATTGGCTATAAAACATCACGCTACGATCAAATGGAGTTCAGCAGCGGGTGAAACCGCGCGAGAGTAGCTAGTGTTCTATAAATACATAAATGCATAGTACCACCAGAATAATTATTCAAATTATTCAACAAATTTAACTTAATATGTAGGCAAAAGATATTGTGGTATTATCATATACATGGTGTTTACACAGCTGTGTTCTGCGCTGAGCCTGCCCCCGGCGCAGTACGTGACGATGAAAGGAGTATTGCTGCGTCGACCGGCGGCCGCTGACGCTGACGTGGACATCGCTGTACGACACTACCTGCACTCCGCCGGATGGATACGTAACTAAACCAACACCCTGTTTCACAACCACGTACGACTAATTATTATTGTACGTTTACACGCTTGGCAAGTCTACACGACCATCCACAAACACAAGCGTGTAAACAGGCTGTTTGACGTGGCTTGCATGAGCTTGTGGGCGATCGTAGGAAATTTGTGTCAAGCGTTTGCAACGTATTTACTAGTTGGCGCGTGTTTGTGGACATTTGACAAGTTTCGGCAAGCGTTTAAACGTATCATAAGGTTTCATTTAAAGAGTCGCGGCGTTTCGTGACTTCTTCGTACATTGCCGCTGAAGGCCGCGGCATTGGTCGCACAAATTCAAACAATCAGCAATGTACAATGAACGCACGACGCTCTTTCTGTAAACGAGGCCTAACACATTTAAAATTCTTTTCTCTTCCTAAAGTTAGTGCCCGAAATTAATGATTCAGTACTGCAATTCGACTTGAATACTATTCTGTCAGTCTAAAGAGTCGAAACCAAGAACTTGATGACTGTATCATATAATTCGGGCATATAAATACTTACAAGCAATTGATTTATCAATTAGGTCTGTTACAAAGGTTGATTTTCTCCTTTGTAATGTTATATCTCCTTCCAAATTTTAACGACAGTCATCGAATTAATTATATTTATATACAGTTTCAAAAATAGAATACATAATTGATTGAACTCTAGCAACGCACTGATAGACCGCTAGATCACTACTACGTATATACATATACAATATAGTAAAAAACCAAGCCTTGAAATTTTTTAGCGCGTATTAATTTTTTTAAAGCGAATCCGTTTTGTTAAAAATATACAAAGCTACTATAGAGTCATACATAGGTTGTGAAACAGGAATTCCAGTCGTATTCATAGCTATAACTATTGTTTCATAATTATAACTCTAAGCACTTGTTAAAATTTTCATAGAAGACATTTTGAATAGACATTATCTTTGAAATTGACATTCGTACACATGAGAATCAACGTCGTTTTATGATGGCAAAGTCAAGCGAAAATTGCATAATATCCCATCTCCTATATATTGTCATCTTCTTCTAACTATATAGATATACGATTTGAGTAAAAGAGACAGCATATCGATAGTCAAGATCACATACAATGTCTATTTATCTCGTCTATAAGATGTTGCGTATATTCAAAGTTATACAGTCTCGGTGCTCGTTATGTTTTATAGGCACCAGTGTTCATTAACAAGTTTTTTAATTACCTATACATAAAATACTTCCTTTCCTATACCTACCGTGTTCATTTCTGATTGTATCATTAATCATTCAAGATATGATTTATATCCTTGAATGTTTCGCGCGATTTTCCAATGGCGCCACTGTAGCTTTTGGCTTATATGAGCTGCAGGGTTTGGATATGTGTATTGAAAATTTTCTAAGGAAGTATTATACTTCTTTATTTTATAACTAATACGATTATGTGTATAACTTGCTAATGCACATTGTGCTTTATAATATTGTTTCATTTTAGTTAGTTAAATTGACAGTTTTGTCAATGTATAATTTTGCACGAAGGTAACCTCATGTAAGACTGCTCTTATAGAGCATTGTAAATAATGCCAATGTAAATATGTATTGTTCTTTTCGTCACCCGACTATACGATGATTGTACATTTCTTGGCGTTTATAAGTAAGACGTTTTATAAGTAAGACCCGCGTCAATACTGACCCCAACTTTCAAGAAAGAAAAAGTTTATTAAAAATCCTTTGATTGTGTAGTGTTTGAGTAGGAGAATTACAATTCGATTTTAGAATGACTGTACTATACTAAAGTAATTATGCAAAATTCATTCTTTTAACTTCAAAAATTAAGTTAAAATTTCATTGTACAGTCGGGTGTTACATGTTAGTGTTTGATGCCTTCTCCCAATATTAGGTTCCAGCAATAAAGAGCATTATTTTGATGGCCGACAATACGTACATTAAGGCTAATTCAAAAGAGTAACGTACAAATTAAATTGAAAGTGTAAAGCAATCTCGAATGTTTTCGTGTTGTGAATATACATAATTATGTGAAAAAAAGGGACTAGAAAAAGAAATATTCTTCGTAAAATTGAATGTCTAGTAATATAGAGCTCTATGCTTAGCAAAAAAAATGTTTTAGGAGATGAAATGCATTTGTAAATTTCCCTCGGCCATCAGCTCGTGTCATACTATCGTACTGACTCCACATATAATAGATAGCCCCAACAAATATTGCCAATCTGTAGTATAACTGCACTCCATTTATAACACCATACATTTTGAATTCTATTTCGTAGACATAAGGAGCTAAGCGAAATGATATTTGCAAAACCAAATATTTGGTGCAGTCTTTTATCCTTTATCTTATACGCAATAGAATACAAAATACCTTGATATCGATAGTAATTGTTTTGAATTTATTTAGTTCTTGTATCTTAAGGCAGATGGCGCAACCTTCTATCGTCACGTATACGCGATTTAGTTAATTGTTTGTTGCATTGCAACTTGTTGTATGTGTCCGAAGGTACCATACTGTTAGCTAATTCCTAGATATAGTAGGTAAATATCTACATTTAAATACAGCACAATAGTATTCCGTTACGGTGTGTAACACATAGAGTACCTGATGGCTCCTTGTGACACTTACCAAAGTAGTTATAAGGTTTATTTTAGCAAAGCAAATGACACTTCTATTTCGCCATAACACACTATATTCTGTCACTTATACCTAAGTTACTGCTCTATGAAATTATTTTGGACATTTTGTTTGGTAAAATTCTGCTGCTACTATTAACAATAGTTGGTATAAAATCTTCTGTTAGTCTTGACAATTGGTAATACCTCTTTGCTCTCTTCTTAAGGGAGCTTTGTCTAGTGTGTAATGAAAATTAGCGGCTAGTAAAAAACTCCTTAAAAAATACCAGTTGCCCTACATTGTGGTAGAATATATTTAGTGTGTTTTGACCCTAAAAATAATCAAGTATGCGCCGTAATATGACGCTTTTGTCATTCTTTTGTAATTATTTTGTAAAAAATATCGGTATGATTGGGAACTTATAGGTATTTGTTGAAATATCAATTTTTGTCATGTTATTCGTGAAGAAAATCTACATCGAAGTCCAATGTTACTTAACTTTTGATTAGTTGTAACAATGGCTGTGGTAGACTGTAATTTATGTTACTATATATAATCTGTATTTATAGTAATGTCATACATTATATTATAAGGCTAATGTTTTCCCTCATACAATATGGAAATAAAGACAAAATTGTGAAGGAAACTTCCACGCGATTTTAAAAGTTGAGTGTTTGTGAAGTAATATTATTTTGATCTCTCTTAATGTTTATTTGCATTTTATAATGATTATTATTTAAAAATATAGTTTTATTTATTAACGGAACTAGGTTTCTCCGAATGATTCCAAAAATTTAAGTAGTTAAGATTAACATTTCCTGTCATTGAATGTGTGCGCTTAGTTCATACCAGATCGTAAGCTATGAAGGAATTAAGTATTTTATTGATTTAAGATGATTGTAAATTCTTGCAATAAATTTTTCCATATTATGTTTACGTGGATGATTTTACCATTATTTTCGTATTTATGGGTAGTTAACGAGAGGTAATGCATGGTATATTAGGGAGCGTATGAGTCACTAGTGACCGGTTGTATCAGACTGTGTCGCCTTCCTTAAGATATTTACTTAGCGGTTAATTAAGGGTATTTCTGTGCATTCACTGTTTGGCTCAAATGTACATAAGATTTAAAGTACAACTTGATATTGTAATTATTACTGATTTATAATTTAATTAAATGGTAAATACATTATATGTTTGGTTTTATTTCATTTTCATTATTCCTGATTCATTTCAATTTGTTCATAACTGGCTTTGGCATGTCTTGTAAGGAAGCTGGCTGTGGACGGTTGTGAAACCATTGATGTCTAAGTGCCTGAAAAACAATAAATTCAATCAAGTGTTTGCTTCATTTCTTTGTTATTTAAAATATTGATGACGTCTTCATTTACTGATGCAATAGTTCCTAGCTAAAAAGTAAGAATACGATCTTCACTACACATAAATATAAAATGGTCGCCTTCTCAGTTATTATATCCCTATGTATGCTTAAATCTTTCGAACTAGGCAACAGATTTTGTTGCGATATTATTATACAGTGTTTGAAGAGGAACGTTCATAATAATGTGCATAGCCAGGGCGTGTCGCTAGTTAAAAATAATAAACAAAATTAATTACCTGTTTAGCCGATATCCTCTTGTCCGCATCGTACATAATGAATGATTTGACGAGATCCACAGCGTCTGGCTCTACTCCTGGCAGGAGTTCTGGCCAGGGCGTGGGCGCAGACTCGGGAAATGTGATCTTGTGGAAGTCTGGCAGCTCTGAATGTCCTGGCCAAGTTTCTTCAGTCGGTGTTCCTAGGTGTTGAAGTACTATTGCCAACTGTTCAATGTCTGATTCACCCTAAAACAGACATAAAAACACTGCTTCGTTTCTCCTCTATAAAATGCATACAATATTTCCTAAGAACTGTATCTTAGTGACTTACAGCAAACAATGGTTGCTTTGTAATCAATTCAGCTAAAATACAACCGACAGCCCACAGGTCCACTTTCTCTGTGTAGAATCTAGCGCCATACAAAAGTTCAGGAGCTCGGTACCATCTGAGAATTAGTAAAATATTTGTATTAAAACAAACAGGAAATTTCTATGACGACAATTAACTGTTATTTAGTCGAGTTATTTCATAATGGGGGCGACAAAGTGGTTTACTCGACTGGCTGACTGGGCTCGGATGTGGGTAGTTTTTAGTCAGTCAGAATTTCAAACACTCCGTTGTGGCTTTGCCGCCTTTAACAGAAGACCATTGCGTGCGTCTGTAACCTCTACGGATTACAGATAATGGTGCTATAGGGTCGAATTCGATTACTTCATTATAAAACGTAACATATACCTTGTAGCGACCTGGTGTGAGTAAGGCCTGCCCCCATCAGGCCAGTAAAGACGCGCAAGACCCAAGTCTGCAATCTTCAGTATACCCTCGTGGTTAATAAGCAGGTTAGCTGGTTTGAGATCCTAATAAATTATAGATAAGTTTAAAATTTTGTAGGTACATGTGTTTCTCTAAAATAGAATACCTACACTCAGATATGTTAGTCAGTTAGTAGGTATCGATGCAGTTGGTACCTAAGTACGTAAGCAGGTTGGTTCGAAAAAGTCTATTGAATAACTAATTTGATAGGTACTTATAATATGTTGCTCGAGTTGCAAGCGCAATTGCCGCACACTCGGGTTCAAATTTCGCAGTGGCAAAGTGGAATAAGTATTTTTTTATTTTGATGAAATCCACGATCACTTTAGAACTGTAATGTCAGTTTTAAGGCGATAAATTCGCGTCGAACCGCCACCGTACCGACACTTTGGTTTCCGGCGTTTTTCATTGAAACGACGATTGCGATGAGCTGCGGAACACGGCAGCTCATCGCAATCTTCACAATAGAAAATTGCGTTCGTTTATTTTTGCTCGTATAATATAGTGAAAAAAATGTTTAGGTACCTCTGTGCAGACCCGTTTGCTCTTTTAAACACTACGTAGGTATATAGATGTAAAAAATAAAAATTTACTTACCCTATGCATCACATAATGCGCGTGCATGTATCTCGTGCCTTTTAAAAGCATTTGGGCATAAGTTTTGACCCTGGGCAAGGTGAGTTCCTGCTGCGAATGGTGCAGCATATCCCAGAGACCTGAGCTCATATACTCCAAGACGAGGACCAGGCTCATACCCCGGGGAAACATTTCGTAGAGTTTTATAATCTGGGGAATAAGTTGAGATATAAGTAAAAAAAATATATAGTGTATGTATAGAAAAATTAATCACATCATCAGCCTATAAGTGTCCACTGCTGAGCAAATACCTACCTCTCCTCGCACGGTAAAATTAATCACCACCGATGCTCAAGGCGGATTGGTGATTTCAAACTTATGCGGGTACAACTTAACCTCCGGGCCACGACAAACAATAACTATACTTAGATTTATTTATTTAAAAAAAAGGAAGCGTTGACCAACACTAGCGTTTCACCTGTAAGTATTTTCACATAGGGAGTCCCGTGCGGGAATCAACCCTGTGACAGGTTGCGCAGATGATTAATATCTATGTAGATAAGGTACCTAAATATGATTTTTAACCGTATAAAATGGCTTTAAACCTGGTCCAGTTTGAAACACATTGGTATGTTCAGCACCGGCTAAAATGGTGACTTACTCACGTATTTGCACCGAAGCAATTGCAGCGCCTTTATTTCCCGCATCACATTAACCGGGATACCATCCTCGAGGTTTTTTATCAAGATCTTCTTGAGGGCCACTTCACGGCCAGTCGCTATGTGCCTTGCTTTGAAGACTAATCCATGAGCGCCCTCACCAATGCGGCCTATCACCGTATAATTCGTTACATCATTATCCATTTTTATTTATTTTAATATACATTTACAAATAGGAATTAAAGATTATGGCTCTGCGAGAGTAAAATGGTGACATTTACAAAATAAACAGAATTGTTGTGTTTATTAGCGTTGCTATGGTAACACTGACAGTTGTGGCATTTTCTTTGTATAGGGTCGACAGGATTGGGCCCGATGTCGATTTATGGTGTAGGTTAAGTTACCTATCAGCGGCCCACCTATATATGTTTCGAGTGGATGTTCAATTTCAACCAACTTCAACTACCTCACTAATGCCGAAAAGGCTAATTTTCCACTCCGCAATCCTCAATTTTTCTTCATAAAAACCGTCTGACAATAACAAGGGCAAAAAAGATGAATATCTAATATAATGGGCAAAATTGGTCTAGGTGTTGTTGAGTCATGCGCTTACCAACACATTTTGCGATTCATTTTTATATGAAGACAGGGTAGGTACCTACAAAAATTAAATGTGACCTCTATTTTCCACGAGAAAAGTCACTATTACAATGCTTGATGAAGTGAAAATAATAGGTAGGTACTTCGCCCAATCCAAGATTCGTGCCCGTGCTAAAAACTACAATCATTCAGGTGTTTCTTGAAAATTATGTAATGTTTAAGTATGCTATGTTGTTTGTCATTGAAGGTAGGTTATAGCAGTGTCTTTTATACCTACTTACAAGTGTATTACATTGAATGTTTGCTCAGATGTAGATTGAACATTTAATTCAAAATGCCTATTGTGTTAGTATTTTCTTTATTTAAGGTTTTCTATCAGTGATTCAAGTTACTAGTTAACAGACCTATATCTAGAGCAGACCTCTGCTATCCAAGTGAATAAATTATGGCTTTGAAAATATTTTGTGTAGTGATCTTATTGGTATTTTGTCATGCAGTGCAAGGAACTTCGATTCTTGCACTTTTCTCCTCTTTATCGTACACTGATCATTTGGTCTTTAGAGGATATGTATCAAGACTGGCTCTTAATGGATACGATATAGTCGTCATGACTCCATACCCTGGGCACTTCAAATTCCCAGAGGCAGAGAAGATCATCGAGCTCGATGTCAGTGAAGAGTCGGCGCCGTTTTGGGATGAGTTCATACTGTTGATGACCAATACTGATGACTACTATCCTAGGCAAAAGGCTATAAATGAATTCTCAATAAAACTGGCAATTGCTCAGTTGAAGTCGAAAGCGATGATGTCCCTATTCATCAACCCAAACTTGAAGTACTTCGACTTGGTTATCACCGAAGCGGATGTGCCTCTGCTTTACGCGGTTGCTGAAAAATATAAAGCTCCCCATATTGCCATCACTGCAACCAGCGGCAGGATCCACCAACATGAATCAAAGGGCAACCCCATCCATCCAATTTTATACCCAGATGTGAACACTTTGAACTACGGGAATATGAGTAGATGGCAAAAAATCATTGAGATCTATCGACACATTCAAACGAGGAATGAATATTATAATAATTATTTGCCACTTTGTGAATTGGCCGCTAAGAAACTATTTGGATTGAAGAGAAGTCTTCTTGAAGTCGAATACGATATTGATTTTCTGTTCGTAGCTGGAAACCCAGCGTTGATTGGTAACAGACCAAATGTTCCAGCTGTTGTGTACGTCGACCGTATGCATATTAATCCTGGCCTAAGGTTACCAAGAGTAAGTCGAACAATCTCCGTGTAGGTCAAGTGCGTCTAGAAGTTATTTGTTTTCAACGATGTTTATTTTCAGGAGCTACAAAGTCTTTTGGATTCTTCAACTAAAGGTGTCATATACTTTAGTGTGGGTGCAATACAAGAAGCAGAACAGCTGTCGCCGTCCCTATTACAAACCTTGGCAGAAGCTTTCGGCGAGGTTCCGTACACAGTTCTCTGGAGGATTGGTGATACGACGATGATTAAGAAACCTGATAATGTTTTTACCAAATCTTGGTACCCACAGCAAGAAGTTCTTGGTAAGTTAATAAAAAAGTGTTGAAATCTGAAAATGTTTATGGTGATTAACTAAATTGATCGGTTTTACAGCTCATCCTAACGTTAAAGCCTTCATAACGCATGGTGGCGCTCGTTCCTTAGAAGAAGCTGTTTTCTACAAAGTTCCAATTATTGGCCTACCACTTGTCAAGTCTAGAAAAGTCTTCATTAACGAGATTACTAGACATGGGGCTGGAGAAATTTTGGATCCTTATAACTTAGATAAAGAAACTGTGAAGGATACTATAACAAAAGTGGCTTCGAATAAGAAGTAAGTTCAATTTCAATTCTAGTAGTTAAACCACATTTCTTATAGGTACCTACTGTTTGTGATAATTACTGTAAAAAATTAAAAGCATTCTAATAACTTTTATTTCAAATCATCAGTGCTTGTGGTATTTTGGTTTTATTTTTCTTATGTTAATATTTTTGGTTTCAGATACAAACAAGCGATAACAGTTTTGAATAGTGCGGTTTTTGATCCCATGGTGTCTGACCCTGATAATGCTGTGTGGTGGACGGAATATTTGTTACGACATCGAAATGTTCGCCTTCTTCGGTCTCCAGTCGTTGGTGTATCCTTCTTTAAGTATTATCTTTTGGATGTCGCCTGTTATCTGCTTCTGATAACTTTTGTAATACTGCTTGGAGCGTACGCAATAATACGAGTTATTTTAAAAAGATTGCGCTCTCGCTTTTCAAACTCTGTTTTATCAGAAACAACAGGAAAGTTTAAGGCGTTATAATTTATTGTATCAAAATTAATTTTAACTACATAATGAATTTATTTATTTGTAACTTATTAAAAAAATAATAAATAATATTTTTAAATAACCAGGTGTACCTATTTATTTGTGTAATTCTTGTTATTTAATAAACATAAAATAATTTATTGTATTTCTTAAAAGAATTTTATTCAAACTATAATGTTGCATGTAAAAAAAATCCTTTTTTACTTGAGAACTTTGGCAAATGGCAACTGGTGACAAAATTTGTTAACTGTCAAGTGTCAAGTGTCACTACCATCAGAATTTGTTTTGGTTTTGTGTTTTTGCACTGAAATTTTCTTGAAACTTAAATGTATTCTAAATATTGTTGTTGAATATTATTACGTGAGATCGACTCTCCGTGTGGCATAATGACGGCTGTAAGAACATGTCCTGGGTTGTATTGTGGTCGTACGGAACTGGATGATGGGTCTTGGAGTGACTGTGGTGCTTGCCCTCGAGGATTTCGCACCAATTCAACCAGCTACTGCGTACCATGTACCGATAAACCGACTTTATACGATGGCTTGTATCTTGGATTCATGGTTCTATTACCTATGGTATTGCATTGGTTTTTTATAGACATGGTTGCTGTGGCCAAGGGGTGAGTGTATTCAGTCTATGTATTAAGCGATTGCTTCTCTTTGCATTCCCTTATCCGAACCTCCTTGGTGTTAATGCGAAAAAATACATTTTTAATCTTATTTTTCTAGCTGATATGAATACTCACCAAACCAGTTTTCTCCTATCAGACATCATCTTATCACCAACTCCCTTTTCTTCCATATCAATCTTTACACAATTTACCCAAACAAAATAGAGCAGAGTATCAATGTGTCAATGTAACTAACAAACCTTTTAAATAGAAATATTCTTCAAGATATCTTTCATTTTGAAACTATAATTAGATTACACTCTTTAATCTCTAAAAATATTATACTTTCCAGCACCAAGAACATTTTAGTGCAACACATATGTGCTTTTGTTGAGGTGGCAACGGGCACGCTGGCAGCTTTACTAGTGCTGCCACCAACAGGCACTATTGCATTACATGTCTGTTCTCCAAAAGCTCTATCTGACTGGTACACATTGCTGCATAATCCACAACCTGATTATAAAGAGACCCTGCATTGCACACAGGAGGCTGTATACCCTTTGTAAGTAACCTCTTTACTAGAAACTCATTTTTGAAGTATTCTATGTAGAGAAATGAATTTATTTATTTATTTATTTATAAATTCTTTATTGCACACAACATTAAAATTTAATACAAAGAGCAGGCTAACAATCACAGAGTGTACAATGGGCGGTCTTATCACTCACGGTGATTTCTTCCAGACAACCTTTGGATGGAAATTACAAAGTGAAACTGGAAATGGGCAGTCTAGTGCACAATAAATACGGGAGAGAGAAAAAAAAAAGAAAAAAAAATAACAATATAAATAACGTATAAACTTACATACAGACTCATACACATATATACATACATCAAATAATATATACACATATACATACATATTACATAAAATATTATACACGTATCCAGTATTTAAATTTGTCTGTGTGTGTGCGCGCGTGTGCGTGCGTGCGTGCGTGCGTGCGTGCGTGCGTGCGTGCGTGCGTGCGTGCGTGCGTGCGTGCGTGCGTGCGTGCGTGCGTGCGTGCGTGCGTGCGTGCGTGCGTGCGTGCGTGCGTGCGTGCGTGCGTGCGTGCGTGCGTGCGTGCGTGCGTGCGTGCGTGCGTGCGTGCGTGCGTGCGTGCGTGCGTGCGTGCGTGCGTGCGCGCGTGTGTGTGTGTGTGTGTGTGTGTGTGTGTGTGTGTGTGTGTGTGTGTGTGTGTGTGTGTGTGTGTGTGAGAGAGAGAGAGATAGAAAGAGAGTCTCTACAATGACAGGTAGTACTCCTTAACCATTCTCCTAAACTGACAAACCGACTGAGCACGCCTCACCTCCAACGGTAGGGCATTCCACAATCGAGCCGCTTCAATGGTAAAAGATTTATCAAAGAAAGAGGTCGAATGCAAACGGATGCTCAGCTTAAGGTTCCTCGATGATCTCAAGGACCTCGAATGTGTGTCTCCAAGAAACTGAAAACGTTCTTTCAAGTAGGAAGGGGAAGCAGGATTGAAGAGAATATTATAAAGTAAGGATAGGATATGAGTATTCCGGCGAAGGCGAATAGGCAGCCATTTGAGCTTATTTCGAAATTCTGAGACGTGATCATACTTGCGCAGTCCAAATATGAATCTAATTGCTAGATTTTGAAGCCGCTCTAGCTTGTCCAATTGTACTTGGGTAAGATCAAGATAGCAGAAGGAGAGATTGCGCTAATGTAATTTTGGTGGCAGAGGGTAAAAAATTACGAAGCCGCCTCAGGGAGCCCGCTGAAGCAAATAATTTGCGACTTACCATCTGCAACTGCTTAGTCCAAGAGAGAGAACTATCCATGTAGATCCCCAGGTTCTTAACTTCACGCGAGAAAGGAATCTTTGTACCAAGAAAAGAGACCTGAGGCAGGCCAGTCCAATCTATCCTGGAAATGTTTCGCGTACTACCGACCAGAATCACTTGGGTTTTGGAGGGATTGACTTGAAGTCCAAAGTTCATGCTCCAGTCTGCAATACGCGCCATGTCACGATTAACCAAAGCAATCGCATCCGGCAAATCGTCAAAAGTAGACTGAGTGTAGATCTGGAGATCATCCGCGTAAAGGTGGCAGGAAGAAGAAAGATTTTGAGTGATAGAGTTAATAAACAGCGCGAAAAGTAACGGAGATAAAACGCCACCCTGTGGCACGCCGGCAGCAATGGAACACCATGAAGAGTAGGTATCCTGAGTGCGAATCCGCTGTCGGCGGCCAAACAGGTAACTGCGGAACCAGTCAACTACCGATGGAGATATGTTAAGAGAGCTCAACACAGCTAGCAAGATGTCGAGGTCCACAGTAGTAAAGGCATTACTAAAGTCGAGCAGCACAAGTACCGTAAGCTTCCCCGTCTCCATGCCTAGTCTGATGTCGTCTGTAATATTGACAAGGGCCGTGGTAGTGCTATGACCGGGTCGAAAACCAGATTGATAAGGACTAAGGAGATTATGTGACGAAAGGTACATGCTCAATTGTTGATGAATAAGTTTTTCGAGGATTTTGGATAGGAAAGGTAGAATAGATATAGGACGATAGTCAGAAAAGCACACAGGATTTGGTTTTTTGGGAATGGGGACAATATTAGCCTCCTTCCAACATTGTGGGAAAACTCGACTAGTTACAGAAAAATTGAGAACGTAAAGGATAATGGGAATAAGTTCATCGAGGATAGGAATGATCATCTTCCGGCCAATACAGTCACCACCAACGGCATTGGAATGACGTATGACAAGTTGAGAAGCTTCGGGCAACGGAAGTTGTGAAAGACCTTTTAATGTAGCAGCTTTGGTGGCCCCATCTAAGGAGGGCGAAGTTGAGAAGTGTATATTAAGAGAATTAATGTCTACATTTCTAGGAATAGAATCTGGTTCAGATTTACCGATGCCCAAAGATTTAAGGAATTTCCAAACTTTAGCTGGATCACTATCTTCAATAGATTTATGGATATATTGGCGTTTAGCATTCCTGCACACCTTGTTGCAGTGATTCCTGATGGTGACATAATTATTTCTATTTTTGTCATTTGGTTTAATTTTAAATTTGTACTTCGCTGCGGATTTTTTTGCGATAAGATTTTTTACCTCCTCAGTTAGCCAAGGAGTAGGGTGATGTTTGACCCTAATAGCCCGAACAGGAGCGTGCTTATCGTACAGCTGCAGTAATGCTGCATTGAGAAGCTCCACCTGTTCATCGACAGTCGCAGCTTCAACCAAGTGTGTCCAGTCAATGCCTCTTGCATCCTCCCGAAGACGGTCCATATCCATGCCATCAAAATTACGAAGAAAAAGAGTTTTTGCTTTATGCTTTGGTGGACGAATGTTGTAAGAAGTGTAAATTAAGTCATGGTAGGAAAAAGCGTCAGCCGAACACTGTCCATGTTTAGCGACATGGTTAGGAGAGGAAACTAGGATTAAATCAAGCAGTGAAGGAACAGAATTAGGAAAGTGGTGAGTAGCATTTAGACCGAGGACGGAAAGATTTGCAGATTCAATAATTTGTGTGAAAGAATTAGCCCGAGAATCGTTTTTAAGTAAACAGGTATTAAAATCCCCCATTATGATATTGTGATCATATGAAGGAGTAAAGGTTTCAAGTAGTAGTTCGAAAGATGAAAAGAAGTTTATGCGCAGAGAGGGACAGTAATACACGCCAAGAAGAACCTTGGTGCGATGTAACTCAACCTCCAGAAGCAAGTGTTCACCAGCATTAGGTGGAGGCGGTTGCGGGGACATACTAAGGACTTTAAAAGGAATGTATTTACGAAGATATATGGCCACACCACCACCGCTGCCAGCGGCACGATCATTCCTGATAAGGTGATAACCAGGTAGAGAATAGGAGGAAGAAGGAAGGCAGGGCTTTAACCATGACTCAGAAACAAGTATTGCATGAATATTTTTGCAATCAAAAACTGCCAGCATATCAGAGAAGTGAGCCGGAATACTCTGAGCATTTATGTGGACGACATTGAAGTGCTGAGATTCATCGGAAAAAAACGAGACGAGCGTATCATTCAGGCAAGGAATACTAAAAAAACTGTCATCGCCAGAACTTAAAGACAAATATGGGTCCGAGTCACTGCTGCGACTTGAGTTAAGCATGAGAGTGTAAAAATAAATTAATAATATAACAATAATAATATATAATACTGTGAGATAAAAATTGACAAAATAATAGTTAGGTGCAATTCACCATTATGCATGGCACCATCCACCCGCCAGTTAATCTGTAGAAAATGTATTAAAGTAAGCAAATACGAAAAACACTAGCAAAAAAAAAAATAATAATAATAAAAAGAAGCTAACATTCCTACCCATACTAGTAAGACAAATCACAGAAAACTAAACAAAAGAAAATTGAAAGATAGGTAGTCCAGGTGAGGATAATAAATTAAATAATATTAATAATAATCCGTTACCACCCAATCAAAAACCCAAGCAATAATAACATTATTACCACTTAGATTCTTAGGGAAATTCAAGCAATAACAAAATCGTAAAAAATATTAATTGTTTGAATATTCTTGTAAACACCCGAATAAAAAGGTAGCTAAGTAAATATGCAAAAATTAAATGTTTGCCCTTAAGATTAATGTCACAGATAATGCCCAGCTATACCCATGTGGTTTTACCATCTTCTTGGCATTTATTTTATTATTATGTTACAAAACACAAAACCAAAACAAATTCTGATTCTAGGCTTACAAAACATAAAAATAAAATAAATGCCAAGAAGACCGAAGACCCATAGCCATCAAAGACATATGGACAATCCAACACAAAAAAAAAACAATTCAATCAAACCGGCTGTTTGTAAGATTAGTGTGTTGAAATGAACAAACTCTTTAGTGTTATTATACATCGAGAGATGATCTTTGGCCACCGTAAGCGCAGGTCTGCCGATGTCGAGAAAGAGTAGCTCGTCGCCCGACAGAAACTAGGCTCGAGCGAAGGGTGCGTTGCGTTCCGCGCGCGCCTCAAAGAACCAATAGACCAACACAGACTAGGGCCTAGAGGACTGTTGTTCAGTCTAGGATGCGGGACTAGCGCAATAAAGCACCACAGCCAGGGCCCAGAGCTGGAGTAGGAACGGGGCTTTTAGTCAGTAAGAGTCTGACACTCCTTACCCTGGGCGTGATATGTCACAATTTTCTCCTTACAATTTTTTTTTATTATACTTAATAAGCATTATAACACAAAGATTAAAATGGCTAAATAACAATTTCTTTTTAAATTACAGATACACAGTAGTCCTACTAATATATGCATTCAGCCTGCTGATGACTATAACTTTGAGGCCATGGTTGCTGACATGGGATTCCGTAAATCCTGGCAAGAAGGCAATATACTGCGCACTGTACTTCTATCCGATACTAGTGCTCATACATACTGTCGCTGCGGGATTGATTTGTAAGTATTATAATAAGCTTTTTTTTATGAGTTAGTTTGGCAAAAAACCTGACGGCTCATTTGATGGAAACAATCCTGCAAAATCAATGAGTTAAAAGTAGGTAGGTGCTTTGTTCGCCTTCTGAGGTTTGGGCCTCTAATAACTTGTTGTTGTTTCACACTGATTTTCTGTCAGACCCTGGTATCATTCCAGTCAAGTCAGCACATTGATGCCAAACTATAGTTCTCTCACATTTACCCATTCTTATTGCTAGCTGATTGAGAATTGAGTTTGGACAGAAATATTAATTTCAATCACATCGTTACACATTTTTGATTGATTCATAATAACAAGTTACATTAATAACATATTAGTTGTATAGTGATTAGTATTTCTGATATAGTAATGGAATTAATGTAATACATTAATGTTATAACAATGCTAATATTCCTAATCTACTTATTTCCAGATTGTTCTTTCCCATACATCATCATAATAATATCAATGATGACGTCAGCGTCACATTTCTCAATCAAAATTGAGCAGACAGCACCAGCGCTCCTGATGTCATCCCTTACGAACACAAGAAACTTGATCATATTATTGGGTCATTGGATAATCCATGCATACGGGATCATTTCCCTCACTGGTTTCAAGGAATTGTGGTACCTATCCCTGGTACCTGCCCCAGCATTGTTTTACATCTTAACTGCTCAGTTCACTGACCCCATGAAGATTCACAGTGATTGACAAGAACGCCAAGCATTCGTAAAGCTGGTTCTACATTGACTTCAGTGATTGTTTTGCTATGTGGTACTGATAGTGCAGTGACGTTTCAAGTGGTAGCCAGTACGAATGCTTCTCATGAGTTTTAGTTCGGACAGTATTGTTGGGTTTATATTTTTACAAACTTCTCCGCTAGATGTTTTAGCACCTCATTTCACATCTGAAGTCCACACACTTTTGAGGTGTACTTTTCCATTGACCATAATGGTAATTATTTGTAATCTTAGTTAAATTATTTTGTTAGTATTTTTGTTAGTGTATCTGTAAAGCTAGTGTTGAGCAAGGAGATAAACTTGATTTTATGATATTGCTGTACATCTTTGATCTGTCTGTAAATAATTTGAGTGCTTTAAGCTTGTAATCTGCATGAGATTTATGCAAAACGGGAATTTCAACCCAACTGGTAAAAGGTAAATACAATATAGGCCCTTTTCAGCTTAGTTTGTTAATTAAATGTTATGTTTTATGGCTTACTCTAATAACTGTTCGTCGAGATAACTTGACTAGTTTCAAGTCACGCTTGGGACTTATATCCATTAAAACCATTGTTCGAAATAGAAGCGTGATTAAGCCGTTAATCATAATTATTCGTTTAAAATGTCTTGCGAATGTTACAATTATATTCCTTGTTGATATTCGACTGTTTGTATTTAGTTAGTTATGTATATGTACATAGTTATTTAAAGTTTTATAGGTATATTGTTGTGTACATATTTATGTATATATATATATATATTTATGTATGTATATTTTATTAAGTTGGTAGTTTGTCATCAAATAAATAATTTATTTTGTAAGCTTTGATCTCGTTGTTATTGAAATTGCTACAGTTCATGACGTCTTACGGTAAGTCCTGTAGCCATCAAAGGAATTGATTTTATCATTATTTCTATAAATAAATTCTTTTAGGTTTAGGTATGATTTGGTTTAATAATGTAAGGAAGTAGAATATGATTTTACTTTCACATTTTTTTATGAAGTTTATTTTTCAAAAAAGGAACCTATAAACTAAGAAGTCTCCCCCTGACACATCTAAAACACCCTGGTAGTCCTGGTACAAGTTCGTTCCCGACGTATTTGGTAGAGACTTCTGTGATGAAGTATCGTTTTCCAATACCTATATATAAACCTTTTTTTGTGAGGGAAAAATCATCAAATGACTTCTTCCGCCCAGGGTAGGGGAGAGGGAGTGTCAGACTCTTACTGACTAAAAACCCCCCGTTCCTACTCCTGCTCTGGGCCGAGGCCGCAGTGCCTCATCCTCATTGCGCTTATCTCGCAACCCCGGCTGAATAAAAAATACCTACAATAAAATTTTTAATAGGAAAGTGGGTTCTTATTGTGTTATTTAAGTAAGTGAAATAAAATGTTTCGTGTTTATTAAGTGTAAGAATAACTTTAATAAATATGTGATAATGGAGCCAAAACCGTCGTCAAACGACCCTTGGCATCTCAACCGCGAACTGTAGTGTAGTGTTGCCAACTTTTTGTCAGATAAAGCACATTCTATTTTCGGCCGAAAACTGTTTCGCGGGAAAACAAAGACATGGAGTATGGAGATAGAGTACCGTTCTAAGGAATTTTAAGAAAATTAAACTTTTTGCTTCGTGGTTAGTAGATGTCGTGTCGTATTATTTAAATCACAATGTATCGAATTGTATTAATTATGTAACAAAGATCAAAATGGTTTTTTTTATGTATCTTGCAAATATGTTAAACGCATTTTTTAAAAGCAGAAATTCAACTGTCATTGAAGTCTTGCGGGCCCTTCATAAATAAACCAAATCAGTAAAAAACGAGGAAGGTATTCATTATTGGACCTACTTATCTATTTTGCCATACCGTACCAAGCACCAAAGTACGGGTCATGTTAAATGCAAACCTTGGGACAAAGGGCAGAAAGGCAAAAATGAAAACAAACCGAATCGTTATCCTCATTATTAAACGCTTTTTTCCCTCGGCTCGCGAAAAAGCCGCCATCTTGCGGCATTATTTGCTTATTTGTTTACTTATCTGTGCGTGTATTTCGTTATTAGATCTCATAGCCGTCTGAGAGATCGTTTTGTTTACGTGTGCTTTTATGTTTAGCGTAATTGGAGTAATTTTTTCATTGTCACTGATATTCGGTTGAAAAATGTTGTACTTTTCAAGCTATTTTAAAAAAATCAAAAGATTTTCGTTTTGTCATTTCATTGTATTTTACTTAGGTACCTACATAAGAGGCATAATATGATTTTGACTAAGGAGGTCTTCCTAGGTAAGTTTCCAGATGCAGTTGCAGATTAAGTACAGCCGGCTGCCAAGCAAGGTTTCGCGAGTCTCCTACTTCTCTAGACTATACAGGAGAAAATTCCAGGGTCCGACAACGCTTTTTTTATTTCATAGGACGGGAATAGAGCCAACGTTTAACTTTATGGTAAGCAATCAACAACGCCTATGCACACCCGCAACAAAGGAAGAGTTACAAGTGCCTTCCCGACCTTTTGGGAATAATGTTTTGGGATTTAGGGATTGGAAGAGGGAAAGGATTGGGCCTCCAATTTTTCTGTTCGCTTGTTACTTCTTGGATTCCATGCAATTTATTTTGAACTACAAAACTTTGTATGTTTTTTTTTGGGCCCCCTTTTGGTAGGGGCTCGTACCTTTATTATGTAGTCAATCCGGAATATTATAAGTCGTACCTGGTATTTTTCTTCTAATTCTAATCTACCTACATATAGGTAGGTACAGCGAGGTAGGTAAGTATAATAAGTAGGTACCTACCTACCTAACTACTATTAGCTTTATGCTACGGCTATGAGTTGTGTTACGATAGTTACAAAAGTGCATTATCGCTGGTGCGATAATAAAATGTTAGCTAGGTACAGCAAGTTTGCACCGTTTACTGTTTCTTTTTAGTTCTTTTACGCTTAAAACGTAAGCACTTAGTGTATTTAGTATGTAGGTAGGTATTGTAATGTGTAGAAACTTTTTAGTAGCAATATCTTAGGCAAAAACATAGGAGTATTTTTCTAAATTTTCTAGGTAAGCGAACGTCGCCATCATACTTCTCAGATTAGCAAGGTAAAGTGTGGTAATAATGGCATGTAGCTCAACTCATGACTGATTCGTTACTGATATCTATATCGAATGTTTATAATTATTGACTCATTGCATCACTACCACCTACGCACAATTTGATAAATGTATAGGCAATTACTACATTACGTAGACAGAAAAGCTGATAATTTTAATTGGAGAGCCATTAGTTTTGAACTTCAGCTTGATTATACTTTATACCTATTAAGTAATATCAAAGGGTCGTGTTGGCTTTTGTATGTAACCGCACCCACGACACAGGAGAAAACTAAAGTGTGGGACAGCCTTTTTTTTTTAAAGTAGCTAGTTGTTAGATATGACAAGCGCTTTTGTCACCAGCGCAACGGAGCCAGGTAGCTGATCAGTTAGCAATTAGCAGACATGTTTAACTGGGTTCTAGATATGATGCCATCAACGATCTGTGACTGGCTATGGGTTAGCAAAACGATTTTCCTCTTATCTATTGAATTAATGGAAAAGTAATAATTAAGAAAGGTGTTTGAAGTGATAGCCATTGCGGTAGGTACTTACCTACCCATCCGTATATTTATTAACATACAGATTACTTACTGTTCTCACCTAAATATTCAACCGAACAATGGCAATTTTTATAGTTATACTTGTTCTGTACGTAATGTAGGTACGTTACGTTGTTTAGTAAAAGCCAGAAACTACTTATGCCCGGTTCCTATATTTAACGAATCGTCGTTGTACACGCAATACGACCAAATGACATTACGAATGGTTATCTTGACCGTCTACTGACGGTTAAAATATTTATAGGAACACACAGACACCATAGATCTCCATACAATTCGCTTACCGATATCCGTTAGTTGCAAACCGTCAGTAAGTTGCACGACGAGACGTTTATTATAGGAACGGTTTTAGCTTACGAGTCGTATATAAAACTACTATTCGTAATTAAAACGGATCGTTTCTCAATTATAGGAACCGGGCGTTAGCGGTTTTCTATATACTTAATTTTTATGTTTTAGCGACATCTATGGTGTATTTTTAGAATTTAACTGACATGACGTGATCAACCATGTTCCTTTTAGTTATTGATTTATCCAACAGATGGCCAGTTGGGTTCTGTATCGCGCTAGCAAAGTTTTTATTTAATATGAACATGGTCAATAAATTACGCGACCTTGTTATCCCACCCTTCCTATGTCCTTTGATCCATCTGTCATAGTGAATCAAAGGTATGCTTCGGCTACTAATATAATATATCGTGATGATGTCATATCATTGACGCCTTCTCGCAGAGATTACTGGATTCACGATTACGACTTGTTGAATCCATCCACCATAAAGCGTCCTGTTTCTAGGTTTAGTCGAGCCCACTATAAGTACCAACTGGCATTGCTTATAGTGGACCTTGAGGACTGCCAGGACGATTTGTGGGCCGTCAGCTTTAAGTTACTGCGATGGTTTCTGGAACAAATATTCAACAAGGCAATGTCGTGCAATACCGGACTCGCATCACTGGTCGTGAAATTAGAAGGCGTAATGAATATGTTGTGTCGGAGAACTTGATGACAGATTGGGTAATCCTCACAACGCTTATACCCCGAAAGGGGTATAAACGGTATTCCTTCCCGTTCCACACGCCCCAGACATCTATATGATTTAATTTCAATGTTATTACCATGGTAATATCAATGATAATACATCATTTAGATATCTTTTTCCTGTTTGTGTGTGCAAACGCAACTGCTGCCATGCATGATGTAATCGAACTCGACAATTAATATACTTAGTATGGCGCTTGGCGTCATGGATAATTTGATTTTATATTCACATCATGTTTTATTCATGTTTGATTTGGTTCTGGGTAACTTTGTAAATACCTGTTTTGTTAATTGTAATGTTGTCTATAGATAATACTTAAAAAATGGATTGGTAAGCGCATAACGCACGAACGCCTTGACCAATTTTGGAAATACTTTTTGTTTATGGAGGAGGTTCTTATGAAGATTATAGAAATATCTAGAAAAGTAGAGGGAAAAATTGGGATAGCGACCCTTTTGTCGTTGGCGAGATAATTTTACACTCCTATGGAGCAGGGGCGGGCAGGCAGTATTTAAT